CAAAATCCACGACCAACCCCTTGAACAGAAATCAGACTCTTTGGAGCAGCCTGTCAGTTATGTTGATGTAAAGACGAGCACCATGATGTTTGAGTCCCTTCCCCTGTATGCCATCAGAGACAAAGAGGGCCAATTTCATGAGGTTACAACTGTGAAAAAAGAGGAGGTAATGAGTGGTGATGTAAGAGGAGCAAGGTGGATGTTTGAGACAAAACCCCTTGACGCCATCAAGGCCGAGAATGAAGTCTATGTGATCCGAGCCGTCACCCAAGAAGATGTCAAGAAAGGAGATGTCAAATCGGCCAGATGGAAGTTTGAGACACAACCGTTGGACTCCCATACCAGCCAAGATGAGCCCTCTGTTAGCGTCATTGAAGGAAGCAGTAATGTGCAGCTCAATAAGCAGATATTTGAATCTGATCAGACGTGCAAGAAATTCGTACGAATGGTTAGTGTCACTGATGTCCAGCATGGTGATGTCAGGACCTCCACCTGGCTCTTTGAGAATCAAACCATTGACAGTCTAAAAGGGGAACCTCAGGAGCAAGGTCCAGTAAAAACAGTCCACAGAGAAGACAGCCAGAAAGGAGACGTGAAACGCTGCACTTGGCTGTTTGAATCACAGCCATTAGACAAGATCAAGGAGTCTGAGGATACCTCAGTGCAAGGTACTGAGAAGGAGATACCAAAAGCTGATGTGAAGTGCACTACCTGGCTCTTTGAGACCACTCCACTGGACAAAATCACCGCCAACAGTGTTGCTGACACCCTGTCCTATCTGTATCAAATGACTTATGTTCACTCAAGCGGCATCATAATAGAAGCAAATGACAGTAGAAATGTTAACATGGCAAAATACCTGCTGGAAAGCAACGAAGGTGTGCAAATCCAGAAAGAAGAGGTTGTTGGGGGTAACATTAGGAACATCATGTTACAACTCTTACTCAAACCATCCCTGAAGCCCCAAATTACTCTCCTTAGAGAAGTGGAGATGGGTAAAATGAATACCACAGTAGTAGAACTTCCAGTCTACCAGTCAGCCACAACTATCAACCTTGAGAGGGATCAAAGGATACAAAACATTGTACAGATGATCGATGAATTGCTTGTTCAAGATAAGGATTTGAAAAAAGGAATCATAATGCAAGAGACTGCTGGGGGACAGGCAGAGATGTCAGTCTATGCACTCATCTGCAATTCTGAAACCAAAACCCAAAGTCATGTTATAGAGAAGGGAGATGTAAAGTCTACAATTGGAAATCTGTTAGCTACCGCCAATAGTCAGAGGACTGCAACATCGTGTAGAGTGGATGAAAATGAAAAGGGAAATGTGAATTTGTTTACAAGTTGCATTGAGAAAGGAGATCTGAACTATCTGAAAAGTCTTCATATTGAGACATCAGGAGATGAAGTTGATCACAGCCCTCTGGCTGAGGAGCATATTGAAATAGTTCAGGGGGATGTGAAGGAAGCAAAGAGAAGTCTCTCTCAGCAAAAAGAGCAGGTAGAGCGAACCATTTCGGATGTTTTGCCAGGAGATGTGAAGAAAGCCAAAAAGGTTTTTTCATCAGAGTGCTCTCTATGTGTTGAAAACTGTGTTCCAAAGGAAGAAATAATCCCTGGGGATGTCTCATCAGCAAAGCAACAACTTGCAGTAAAGCCATCTATCTTGGTAGAAAAAGAGGAGATTGTGGCTGGGGACATCAAGGCAACAATGCAGTCATTAGAACGTGCAAAGCAACAGAGCCTGTGTGTGGAGCGAGAGATCATTAAACCTGGCACTATCTATGACATGAACTTGTCAGCTGAAGGTCCTGAAATAGAAGGAAGCCAAGCACAAAAAGAGGTCATTATATCTGGCGATGTGAAAGCAGCTAAAAAGTCTCTTGAAATGGCTAAACAGCAAAGCATGCTAATGGAGCGTGAAGTCATTGTCCCTGGAAAAATATACAATCTGAATATCACAGCACAGGAGGAAATCTCCTCAGCGGTGATGCAATCTACATGTTCGTCTTCCTCCAGATGCCAGCAAATCAAGACTTATCCAAAGGTCAGTGATGCTGAAAAAGATCAGGAAAGCCATGTTTCCTTTGAGGCTTGTCAACAGAGTGCAGTTATAGTCAGTAAATGTGCACCAGAATCACTGCCGCCTTTTGTAAATTGTGAGTGTAATGGTCAGTCAACAGAGGATGAGACAGACAAAGTTATCAGAGGAGATGTGAAGGCAGCTATTAGGTCTCTGCAGAGTGCAGCAACAGAGCAGAAGCTCCTAGATAAAGAAGATGTTGTAAGAGGTAATGTCCAATTGGCTCTGCGATCTCTTGAGAAGTCTAGTGTAAATGTATCCAAAGGAGACTATAAAGCTGCAATGATATACAGAAATGCAGGGATGGCTTGTTCAGGAAGGAGCAAGACTGTTCACAAGCAGTGTGTTGTGGTGTCTATGCCTCCATCTGACACAAAATTGTCTCCTTCAATTTCAGTAACCTGTGGACACCCATCCATTACAACACAGAATTCAACACTCAACCCCGTAGCAAATGGAAACTCTAAATCATCCAGCTCTGAGAGTGTAACTCCACCTCCACTCCCTCAAAAGACAAGTGAGATATTGCAGAAGCAGAAACCAGCTTTACCGCCAAAGCCACAATGGACAAAATCAGTGGTTGTGGAAGAAAATAATATTTCACCAACTTTTGCTCCCAAAGTCTCTTGCCCCAATAAAGACAACATAAAAAGCACAGTGATTCCTCCACAACAAAGCAAACAGTTCCCTACTTCTTCAGATAAACTACAAGAAACCGCAACACATGGCAAAATCAGCAAAGACACCTTACTTGAAACACACCACCAATACTGTGTTGATGAAGCAGCGCAATACTCAAATCAAACAACTGAACATCTACCAATGGACTCAAAGGCTCAGGAAATTAAAAAGAAGAAGAAAACAGCATCACTTACAGGGAGCAGATCAGACTGCCCAGTAATGGTGTCAAACAGCACTGAAGTGGAAATGGAGAGAAATGTAATACAGAAAATCAATGCAGCTGAGGAGATACAAATGTGCATGACAAATTACACAGAAGATGGTAAACATGAAATGAACATGAGCTTGCAAGCTGCTCTGCAGAACTTTGAGAGAAAGGAAAGTGAGACTCTAGACAAAAAAGCCCCTTTGTTGTCCAAGAAGGTAAAAGTAATAAATGATGATGTTAGTGACCATAAACAAACCAACAAAATCACTACTCAGCATCACAAATCATATCCACAACCTCCCAAAAAAGAACACAACACTGATAACACAGTGCAAACATTAGAGACCAAAAGTCCAGTTGATGCATGCCATATACAGCAAAATGACCAGCAACCCAAAAGTGTGGAGAAAGTTGTTTTAAGAGAGAAGAAAGTAAAAGAGACAGATGATGAAAGGCGACAAAGGCTTTCTGTCCACAAAGAGGAGATCATGAAAGGAAATGTGAAAGCGGCCATGGAAATCTTTGAAAATTTGAGAAAACGAGAGGAACTCAAAGGAATCCTATCTCAAGTGCAACAGATCGAGGGTGAGACCAGCAGTGCAGATGTTGGCTCTGTGAAGACATTATATGAGAATGTTCCTGCTTGGATCGTTACACCAAGTAGAAATGCAAAGCAAAGTAAAACGGAGGAAAAGAAAGTTGAAGTAGAGACACAGGACGATGATCTAGAAAGCATATCCTCAGTTGAGACTGCATTTGAAGACCTTGAAAAAGCAAGCAAGGAAGTAATGAATTTGAAGGAACAAACGCTAACAAAACTTCGTGATATTGAAGAGGCAATTAAAAAGGCTTTGTACTCTGTCTCCAATTTGAAATCTGAGGCTGACATTGCAGGGTTGTCAGGACTGTTTGATGAATCTTTGAAATCTGAGCACAACATTCAACCTGCCAACAACATCAGAAAAATAAGTATTGTGTCAAGCAAGGCCAAATCAGGTCAAACCAAAGAGACGTCTGACGTGAATATGCAAACAGTTTCTGATTCGAGTCCTACTAAACAAGAAGTGCACAATAAGCCTCTTATCAGACAGTCCTCTTCCCAGTCTTCCCCGTCATTCATCTCCATTCACTCAGCTGCCAGAAAGCCTACCGAACAACCTAAATCTCCCATGTCAACATTTAAACCAAAAACAGAGGGTCATTTTCAAAGTTGCCATGACGCAAGTAGTGATCTGGGACAGGAGTCTGCTGCTGCAGAGTCCTCAAAAAATGGTAACAGTCCTGCGCAACGCAAAGTCAGTGTTCTCGAAGTGAAAACTGTTCCAGAGCAGCCAGCAGGAATTATTGGCACAAAGACTGTCAGTGAAACATATGAAGAGACCGATGGTTTTGGCAATGTATTTGTTTCTTCCGTGACATCAACTTTTGTCACCAAACAGTCTGACAGTAAATCATCTGCACTGTTTGAAGTAGTTGGGAGTCCAACCAGATATGAAGTCATGACATCCCCAGTAATTCGAAGATCTGGTTGCACTTTTGAAGATAAAGTGTTGAGCAACGCCAAAGAGGAAGGAACAGTGTTTGTTACATTCGGCCAACCAAAGGATAAACACTAACACAGAGAGTGCGTTTCCCGCTCCTTTAATTTTAGGAATGCAGATATTCCATTTGTGTATTTATTACATTATGTTTTCATGAAATAGTTTTGTGAGTCATAAAATTGATCTTATCGATTTTATACTGTAACCAGATGATAAAGTGTTAAGTTCTTTTAGTAAAGCTAAGCAGTTGATACTGTATGTTCTGTTGTGTAAATTGTCAAATAAATAATTGTTCAAAAGATGTGATTGTAAAAAAATTGCTTTCATTATTTATACTGGTCCCTCGTTATTATTCCACAACTTTGAATTAAATTGTGAATTAAATATTTAAAATGATTGTGTAGCACCAATATCAACATCAACAACTACTGATGTTCCTGTAAATGTACTAGAGGTAGGTTAGCTGACACTAAAAGTAAGCAGCTTTAAAGGAATAGTTCAACAATTTGGGAAATATGCTTTCTGCCTTGTGGCGAAAAGTTAGCTGACGGAATCAGTACCACTCTGATATCTTTCTGCTAAATGCAGTATAAACCAAGACTGGAAACACAGTGAAACAACAAGCTAAGCTTGGTCCAAAGATAAAAAAATTCACCTGTCAACACCTCTAAAGCTCACTCCATGTTATATCTCATTTGTTTAATCCCTACAAAAACTAAAAAGGGTAAAAAACACAATTTCCCTTTGTTTTGCAAGGCAACAAGTAGAGACTCCAAGAAGTTGTTTATTTCCCAAAATGATGAAACATTCCTTTAAGTTATCTAAAGAAATATTCTAAACATTGACTAAAAAACTTTTGCTCAATGATAGCTATCATTGTGTTTGTATCCTGACACGCTAGCAAAATTCTGGATACTTGATTGAAGTTTTCAATCTCAACTGACATATCGGCCATCCTCATCACCGTCAGTGTCATCATAGTACATCCCAGGGCCAGCAGTGGGCTGGTAAACAAGGCTAGGCTAACTGTTTCTCTACTTTCTGCTTCTGCTAAGCTAAGCTAAACACTGTATGGACGGTAACGTTATATTTAAAAAAAAAAAGCAACATCTGAAGTAAGTTCACAGAAAGGTCAAATGAAATTAAATGTTTGAAATTAAATCCCAGTTACCTTAAATTTAATTTGTTTTATCACCCATAGTTCCAGTCATCTGCCAAGGAAATGTGTTCTGCCTGTTTGACACCTGTCTATCCAATGGAAAAAATGGTGGCCAATAAAGTTCTCCTGCACAACAACTGTTTCTGCTGTAAACAGTGTAAAAAGAAGCTCAGGTGAGAGATTTTTCACAAAATGATAAAATGACTCAAATCAACATTTAGAAATTCACCACATACTCTAATTTACTAGAATCAAAATGGTTATATTGGTATTAATGAGCAAAAACATTGTTAGAGAGGATTTTAGAAATTACGTTACGATTATTTCGAATCTCCAATCCATTGAAATCATTCAGAGCAGAAATCGTGAAAAATTAAACAATATGTGATTTTGTTTATTTTATTGCAGCATCCACAACTATTCATCTCTTTATGGAGAGTTCTACTGCATTCCTCACTACCAACAGCTTTTTTTAAGAAAAAGAAATTATGATGAAGGAATTGGGCACAAGCAACACAAAGACCACTGGCTTCAGAAAAATAAAGGCACAGGCGAGGCAGATGCTGTGTCCTCTCCCAAACTGACAAAAAGCTATTTAAACACATCTGATGGCTCCAGGCTGTCTTCTGCTGGTGTGTTTGTCACAAAGTTATCTGGAAGGGAGCCACTATATAACAGCGGTGCTGATGTTAAGGGCAAACTAAAAATGAGCTGGCCACCAGAGAAGAAGAGCACTGGGGTTCCAGCACAGCAAACATATGTAAAAAATAAGATATCTGACATTGGCAAAGCACCTACTTATAGTATCAACCTTTTAGAGCATCACAAAAGTGACAACAAACAGTTAAAGATCAACCATGGTGGAGAAATTAAAGATAAAGTTAAGACACTGCCAAGCTCCTTCATTTCAGGGGTCAAGGAACGACCTAATACAACGGGTTATTACTCAGCTGAGAAGTTGCCCTCAGAAGAAACAAAACCAACCAAAGCATGGCATTTCCAAGACACCATCTCTCCGACTGTACTTAACTGTTCTTTGCCCTCTCTAGAAAAGGGTATTACTGTCACAAACCAAACTTTAGAACAAAAAAATGTGGCACCCACCTCAAAAACAAACTACAGTCCAATATCTATTAGGCTGGACACACATCCAAATAAATCTAGAAAGTCTGTACGATTTGCCCCAAATGTTGCTCAGTATGATCTGTCCTCTCAACTGACCGTGGGAGCCAAAGGTGAAGAACACGGTATGCAGGTTTCAGGCCAAACTGAACAGAGCAAAGTGAATAAATCCAACGATCTAAAAGATGTCAGTGACAAAAGTAACTTTGATCATTTGTCATTAGATTTCAGCAAAGAAGAGAGTCAACATGAGGTGTACCTTGAAATCCCTGAGCATAAAGACCATGGAAAAACAAACAATACATCAAACCAAGAGCCAGATGTTAAAGTGGAGAGCAGTAAGGAGATCCCACAGACTGATATAACAGTTCTGAATAGAGGTGTAGACCAGGTTGAGGAATCCCTTGAAACTCACAGTTTCACTGAAACTTTTAATTCAAGTAAAGAGGTTGTGAAACACCAAGAACCACCTGAGATATCCGATGTCATTCCAAAAAACTCAGTCAGCTCATGTAAATCAGAAATTACTCCGCACAGTCCTTTAGAACATATGACTGGAGAGGAGGACTGTCTTGAAAAGAATAAAAGTCCATTTGAAAAGACTGACACAGAAAATGGTGGTAGTCAGAAGAAGCCCATTGCGAGAACAAATTCTCTGACGGGTTCTGCAAAACCATCTGAAAAGACAAAGGTCAAACTGGGATCCTGGTCCAAAGGAAAGAGTCCTTTGTCAAAGCTCTTCACATCAGGTGGAAGTGAAAAAACAAACAGAGTTGAATCGAAGGATGCCAAAAAAACAGATGTTAAACAAATTGGTGGACTCTTAGGAAGACTGTTTCAGTCATCCTCTGAGAAGGACACCACAAAGTCATCTACGCAAGATGAAAGAAATGACAAAACACAGGCTGATGACAAAAAGACAGACGAGATTAAGGAAGAAATTACAAAAGAGATGCAAAAGAAAGGCAACATGTCTGAAGTGCCACCTCAGGAGCAAGAAACTGGGGAGAATAAGGAAAAGTCACATTCTGTTGAGCCAAACACACTGGGTAGCAATAAAAATGAGGCTGTAAGCAAATCTACAGAGCCATCCAATCTGGTCAAGACGTCAACAAAAGAAACACAAGATGACCTAAAAGCTCCAGGACAAACTGATACAAATCCAACTGATGATCAAGAATCAAATTCACAAAGCAGTGAGTCCATAGGCCTGTCTGGCACTGATTCTGGAATAACTCAGTCTAAAGATTTTCCCATTGCTGTGCAATCAGTGAGCCAAGCGACAGAGGAGTCAGTCAATCAGTTGATAGCTGAGAAAAGCGGTGATGAAGATTCAGGTGCTCTATTTAACGATAATATTTTGGTGGACAGTGTCAATTCAGCCTCTGTTGACCCACTTGCCATTCAAATAAATACTGATGAATCTACTCAAAAGCCAAATGAACTCCTAGATGCACCAGACTTAGTAGGAAGAAATCTGTACAGCGGAGCACTTCTTGATCTCACCCATGAACTTCCTCAAGATTCTGCTAATGTTTTTGGCCCACCCGTCTCTCAGGAGATGTTTGTCAACACCCCCTGGGACACATTTTCATTTTCTCAGAGTGTCACAGCTTTGTCTGATGCTGCTCCTGCTGATACGTGTGGCATGCTTGATGCTCAAACAATATTGGCTGAGAATGAAGTGATGCTTGGCATGACAGATCAGCTTATCGTGCCCGATTTAGCACACATAAACCAAGATGATGATCAAACCGCAAGTCCTTTTACTACTAACAGTCAGATAAGAGAGCAGGACCCCGACTTTAACATATTCAGCTCAAATGACACTTTGTCCTCTCAGCCACCTACTGTTAACGTGCCTGATCAAGCAGGAGCTGAAGCTTCCACAAACCAAGTGTGTGCCTTTCCTGATGACATCTTTGGAGTAGGTGACAGCTCAAGCAGTACAGATGTGTTGTCAGTGCTTCCATCCACCCTGGCCACTTCTATCTCACTGAATGATTTTCTTGGTTCAGACACATCTTTTACTGCCACTCCTGTAGCTCAGCCAGATATTTTTGCTGGTGACATTTTTGCTTCAGAAACACAACTGCTGCCAGTGTTTGAGCCAAGTGATGTAAATTTATTTGGGGACAGTCTTTTAGTGTCTGACAACAACAGCACTGAACAAACAGCAGAAACTACTACCACGAATAGTAGCTGGATGGATGATTTGCTTGGGTAACGGCAGGATTGTGTTTATATGATGTTTATTACACAAAGTTTGAATGTACAAAAATAAAGACATCTTAAGTGAATGGATATGATCAACACTTAACATTTAGTTTGTTAGCAAAAACAATTTGCAATTTTTTTAGGAATCTGATTAAATTTGTGCAGTAAATGCAATATCTGTCTTTATATTACAGCTGCAAAATTAATGGACATGATTTTCTTTCATAGTTAACATAAAACTGAATAACTTGTGATTTTTAATAAATGAATAGTTAATAGAGTTAATAAAGTCAAGAGTCATAACTAAGTGTATTTTGACTGAAATGTCTGTAAACATTCTAGAAAATAAAACTGTAGGCTGAACACTCTGACATGGAAAATGTGAGTTCTGAATGTATTGATTAATGATTGATCTGGAATAAAATTACAATTTTTAGCACTGAGGCAGTTTTTTGTTTTGATGACCCCTTGAAGTTTAAAGAGGTGGTATTATGCTTTTTGGCTTTTCCCCTCTCCTTTATTGAGTTATATCTCTTTTTTGTGCATGTAACAGGTTTGCAAAGTGAAAAAGCCCAAAGTTCAGCCCAAAGGGAGTTCCCATCTCCCACAGAAAGCTCTGCTCTGAACTGCTTGAAAACAGCTGGTTTGTAGTCCAGCCGTTTCCCTTCCTTCACTGTGACGTCACAATGAAAACGCGTCATAAAGCTCGCCAAGCGGCTAGCGGGGGTCAGGCACGCCCTCAAACCAAGCTAGTCAGATTTCATTAAACAAGTAATTAAAACGTAAAGTTATCAAAGCGTATGTGTGTTTGTGTTAAAAAAAGAAAAAATATATTAAAAATTTAAATTAAATAAATAAATAAAACAGTAACCGTGTGTGTGTGTGTATGTTAAAAAAAGAAAAATATATTAAAAACAAAATAAATAAATAAAACAGTAAGAGTGTGTGTTAAAAAATTTAAATATATAAAAAAAATAATAATAAAATAAATAAATGAAACAGTAATGTGTGTGTATATTAATAGACAAAAATTTAAAATAATTATTAATTGATTAAACAATAATAATAACAAATAAAAAAATATATATCAGTATCAGATATATATAAAAAATTACTAAAATATCAAACGATCAAACTAATAATAATTAGAAAATTTGTACAATTATTTATCAGGCTGAGACATATTTTGCAGCAATTATTTCACATTTGGGCATTTCTCCCAGTAAATAGGGGAGTTTCTGTGTGTCTGATATGAATTCGAATTTGGGGTATATTTGGGAAATGTTTGCTAAGTGTTTTTGTCTTAGTGTTTTATATTTGGGGCATGAGGTTAGAAAGTGCAGCTCTGTCTCTACCTGTCCCCTGTCACACTGAGAGTCTCTCCTCTTGTGGTAGCCAGCTCTGTCTGTGGCGACCCTTTTCTATGTGTTCACTCAGTCTGTATGTTGTCAACATTTTTCTTAGTTTAGGACATTTTATTGTACTCAGGTAATTTGCCAGTGTGAATTCTCTTTTAGGGTCAGATAACATTGTAATTTACTTTGTGTTTTGGTTGTTTCTTTCCAGTATTCAATATATTTTTCTTTCTGCTTGTTGATAATTTGGTTTGGTCTGCTTGAGTTGGTGTTGCTGTCCTGAGGCTGTTGGGGAAGTTACTGCAGAGAGCCTCAGGACCAGCTGGCTGAAGGGACTCTTCTCTGGTTTCAGCTCCTGGTATGTTAGGGCTTTGTGATGGTATGTCTGGGGGTTAACGGATTTTAAGTGACTTGTAAGTTATTTGGTGTTTTTTATCTGCACCTGCAGGATGCTCTTAGAGAACTCGGTATGGAAAGATTCTATGATTGTTTTGTCCCATTTGTCAAATTCATTATTAAGTTTTGGCCCCCAGATTTCGCTACCATATAGAATTATTGGTCCTGTACAAGTTGGAATATTTTAAGCTAGATTTCAATTGGAATATATATTTTAATGTTTCTTTTTATTGCATAGAAAGCTCTCCTTGCTTTTTCCCTCAGGTCTTTCACACCCATGTTGAAGTTCCCTGTGTATGTAATGTTGAGGCCAAGGTAAGTGTAGTTTTTTGTGTGTTGTAATTTAGTGGTGTCTAAATAGAAATTGTGTGTAATGTGATTTCTGTATTGTTTCTGAAAGATCATTATCTTAGTCTTTGCTGTGTTTACTGTCAGGTCTGACAGAATCTCTGCAGGAGATTAAGGTGCTACTGCAAACCTTCTTTAGTAGGTGAAAGCAACACTAAGTCATCTGCATACAGCAGACCTCTGATCTCTGTGTCGTTCAGGAGGAGGCCGGGTGCCGTGGAACTCTCTAATTGGTTTACTAATTCATTGATATATAGATTGAAGAGAATTGGACTGAGATTGCATCCCTGCCTCACTCCCCGGCCCTGGGAGAAGAATGCTGATTGTTTGTTTCTATAGAAAAGGCCCTCGTGCCAGATGGAATCAAAGGCTTTTTGGAAGTCAACAAAACAGGCATATACCTTTCTTTTCTTAATGTTTAATTCTTGATTAATTAGAGTCTGGAGGGTAAATATATGGTCCGTTGTGCGGCAATTTGGCAAAAAACCAATTTGGCATTTTTGCAGAATATTGTGGTCATCAAGAAAGTTGACATGTCATTTATTAATGATGTTGCAGGATATTTTTCCCAGGTTACTGGACTGGACTTGTTCATTCTTGTTCTGTTACAGGGTAATCTAGAGGGTTTTGGTTGTTTTTTATCACTGCCTCTAGAGTTTTCCATTTCGTGAATATCTCGTACTGATCATCATTTTTTATAATATTACTGTATAATTCACTAAAGTGATTAATCCAAGTATTTCCATCTTGGATCACCAATTCATCCTGCTGGGTTTTGTTTAGTTTGTTCCATTTCTCCCAGAACTGGTTGGACTCTAAGGATTCCTCAATTTCACAGAGCTGCTTCTTTCTGTGTTGTTTTTTCTTAGTATTTAGGGTGTACTTGTATTGTTTCAGAGTGGCCTCATATTGACAGCGTATGTTGTGGTTATCTGGGTCCCTATGCTTTTCATTTGATAATTTCCTTAAAGTTTTCCTTAGGTTTTTGCATTCAGTGTCAAACCATTTGTTATTGTTCATTTGTTGAGGTTTTGGTTTGGAGGCTTTCAAATTAGACAATGAAGCCAAATGATGAAATATTGAATTGTCCACAGCAGAATTTACACCAGAATTATTCTAGGGAAATGTTTCAGTTAGAAATAAATGAGTTAAATCATGTATGTTTTGATTTTCAAGTGCCTTTTGGTACGCCCCCATGCTGTCTCGGGTCCATCTGTATGAGTATGTGCTGTTAAACAGTTCACAGGCAGTAGGGGCTCCAGACTTAGACTGAGCCCTTTTCAGATAGATAGTGATTTTGCTGTGGTCTGAAAGGGGTGTGAGGCTGACTGTGACAGCTCTGAGAGACATTGGATCTAGATCTGTAATAAAATAATCTACCGTACTACTGCCAAGAGCTGAGCTGTAAGTGTAGCGACCCAGAGAGTCCCCTCGTAGCCATTGACTATGTACAGACCCAGCGTATGGCAGAGCTGTAAAAGCTGCATACCGCTTGTATTAGTAAGCTTGTCAAAGCTCTTTCTAGCAGGACATTCAGGGAAGGGGCAGCAGGTGCTTCCAGGTAAGTGTTTGTCTCCCTGGGTGTTCATAGTATCAGCTCTTTCCCCTGTTCGAGTGTTCAAGTCCCCACAGAGTAATACATTTCCCATGGTTTTATAATGGTTAACTTCCTCCTCAAGAATAGATATACTTTATTTATTTATAGAGAAAATATCTGGGTTGTAGTAGGGGGATTCTGATGGAGGTATATGGATGGCACACATGTAGACATGTTGCTCAGCACAAATCATCTGTTTGTTAATTTTCAACCATACATAAGATTCTTCTTTTTTAATAACTGTGATGGACTGGCTCAGTTCTGATTTACACCATACGCCTCCTGAATCTCTGCCTTGGGTTATTGTTGGATTTTTTGTTGATGGTATAATAATCTCAGTGTAGCCGTGAGGACGACCAGTGGAAACATCTTCTCTGCACCATGTCTGTAAAACTATGATGTCAAAGTCTTTTAACTCTCTATTAAAATCTGGATTTCTACTCTTTAAACCAAAAGCTGATGATCTCAGACCTTGAATGTTCCAACATGTTATTGTAAACGATTTCATCTCCAAGTGTAATCTGTTCAAAAATTAGACAAACACCTTAAAAAACAAATAATAATAATAGTAAACTAGATATTAAAAAATAATACTAGTAACAAACAAAAAGAAAAAGAAAATGTAAAAAGTGTAAAAAGAGGAAAATAGTGTTGTAGGTAAATGAATAAAATATTAAACTTTGAGTGACATTTTAGAGTGTGTATCGTGTGAAATACTATTTAGAATTGTCCTTATATTACTATTCCTTTAAAATGATATCCAGCATGCTAAATTATGAATTATTGTGATGCCTCTAAGAGGTCTCTGCTCTTCCACCATGTTATGAGGCAAGAGCAGAGCAGGTTTAGCATGTGTAATATATCTTTGAGTTCACCAGAGGGGGGCTGTGGCTCTTCTCACCACTGCAGCATAGTTCAGTCCAATAGGCTGCTGCTCCTGCAGTCTTGGTTCTGCCGTTGGGATGGGGGGGGGGTATAGGACCTCCAGGCTGGGGGGCTCTCTGGCTGGGTATCAGGGGCCAGTGTTGTGTTGGCTGTGGGTTGTGATGTTGGTAATGCGGTGGGTTTGGTGGCCTGGCCGACCTCTCTGACGGCCGGGGGTGGATGTATGGTTGAGGTCTGGATGGTCTGGATGGTCTTGAAGGTCTAGGAGGTCCTGGAGGTCTGCGTTGTGTGGTTACCACTTGGAGTGGTTGTAGGGTTACCATACAGGCAGTCCAGGGGGAGGGTCGGGTGGTGGGCCAAGAACACGTTGGGTATGAGGGCACAATCTCTGGATATTCTGGTATTCACTCTGTGAATAGTGTGGGGGTGGAAGTCTCTCCTGTGCAGCAGCGTGGATATGACTATCTTGCTGGTAGGGAAATTGGTGGAGGCTTGCTCAATGACACCAGATGTTCTCCATTTTGTGCCTTGGGAATAAGGTCTTTTCATCCAGGAACCAGGAATGAGGAAGATAATGTCAGCCTTTCTGCCTGTGTGTGTTTGTTCAGATTTCAGCTGTCGGGTCTGGATGTGGAGCTGTGGTGGTGGTTTCAGGTCTGGAGCTCCTAGCTGGAGGCTGGCTAGAGTCCGGGCCTTGGACAGGTGCAGTGTTGTGACTGGTGTCTTGGCTTGGGATGTTTGTATGGAGGCAGCTGGTTGGTACAGGGGCGGGATTAGAGTCTGCACCAGGCTGCATCAGAGGTGGGAGTCCTCGAGGAAAGGGCTGAGTTGTCCTTCAGCAGGTGTAGTGGGAGTTTGGCTTGATGTGGACAGGACAGCGCTCCTCTACCTGGTAAATAGTATAGATTTGTGTAGTAGGTTAACAATGAATAATAATAATAAAAAGTTTAATGTTAATAATACTAATATATTTATAGGTTACACTTTATTTGGCTTATGTCTGCCAACAAATTGTTTATAGTAGGCCTATTTGGAACATTTCAACAAGCTTACCACTAGTATATATTATTATTATAATATTAATTTCAGTTACAGCAGTTTCATTATAGTAGCCTACGTTGTTCTCATTCATTCCTTGTGCAAGAAAAATGCTCTAGCGTACATGGTGGTGAGTCTCTAATTTGTTAATGTTAAGTGTTGTCTTATCAATAATCATAACCATTCATGCAGAATGAGTTCAACATTTAAAAAGTTTGCTGTAGCACTACATCAACATTTTTTAATGTCCATCCCAATCCAGGCTGTGATTGATCATGAAAAGAGATATTGACAAGCAAGTTTATGCACACGCTTCGATAAAAAAAGCACCCGATCTTCTCCCTTCTCTGTCTCAGCTGGTGGAGGGCAGACAAGAAAACCAGGAACTTGTGAGCAGTGCCAGTACGCAAGAAAAAGTCTGCCAAGAGTAAAATGTAATTGGTCAAAACAATGCAAAAAGGCACACAATAATTGCGACTCTAGAGCAAAAACCGGATACCTGGACATTTTGGGCTATTTAGAAATCTCGGCCGGACGCATATTTAGATTGAGAGTAGTTTTTATTTTCTCATCTAACTACAGGCAAGAAAGCAAACAAGTGTATTTCTCGAAATGAGAAACTATATCTTTAACTTCCAACAAATTTCCTAGAAATCTTCCAAAGTTTGCTGTAATGCTTCTGCTACATGTAGAATTTCTGGAAAAAGTACATATGTTTGTTACTGCAATTGTAAGGGAAATGGATGTACTTAGTGTTTAGTTGGTACAAATGGTACGTTTAAAAGAAAGTTTGATTAGCACATACCTTTAATTCACATATACAGAGTCATTTAAAAAAAAGTATACATGTACTTCTTTGTTATTTTTGCTATATTATTTTTAATAAATTTGCAAAGATTTCAAACTCCTTTCACGTTGTCATTATTGGGTATTGTTGTGAATTTAGAGGAAAATAATGAATTTCATCCATTTTGGAATAAGGCTGTAACATAACAAAATAAGGAAAAAGTGAAGCGCTGTGAAAACTTTCCGGATGCACAGTGCAAAATGAGCCCAATTCAGAACAAAAAAATCACCATTTATTGATAGCTTAATGACAAGTCAACTTTAAATACTTAATGATAAATTAAGTGGCATAAGAAAACAAAAGCAAAAGGTAAGAAATCATTGTGTTTACACAACTATAATTTCTACTGCTGCTTTTGATCTGTTCATATGTTGTTAAGTAATGACTTCTGTGTGGATTGAAGATGTCTACAGCTTGGTTGAATCTGAAGAACTGGCTGTGTAGGTCCTTTTTCTGAAACACAAAGGGCAGATTAGAGACATCAGGGAGCAAATTGTGAAATGTAAGAGATATCAACTTGTTTAATGACATACAGTATATAGTGATGGAACATATTTGCCATAAGTACCTGTTGTTCTCAGCGTCATTGTCAAACTCAGGAAGGTCTTTTCTCCTGGTCTCAGGAAGCAGGAAGCTGAGAGCTCCACTGAACAGTGCAAGGCTGCTGAAGACTATGATGGGTATGACCCGGTGGTACATGGACAACATGTTGAGCAGTGGAGCCAGTAATCCACCTGTTCTTGCTGCAATGGCTCCTAAAGCTGTGGCCGTTTGTCTGAAAGGGGTAAAGTGAAAAGTGACATTTCCACTTTTGGGCAAAAAACTAATTTTGCAAGAACCACTTGCTTCAAACATACAGTGGTGGAGCCTATCACTCTTTGACAAAATATACTCAATATAATTTTAAATCTATTTCTGTGACTGTCTTAACCATTCAGTAGCCTACTTATTGCCCCCTGTGTCAAGACATTCATTGGACACCCAAGTAGGTTAATAATGCTTTGGCAATATTGTTGTTACACATTCATGCCAATAAAGCTAATTTGAATTGAATTGCATTAATACAAATCATTTAATACATCTTAAATGGTGATTCTCCATGGTCTGAAAGTTTGCACATAAAACCTCTGAAAACCTACCTAACAGATGTTGGGAACAACTCCTGAACAAAAACATTACATACAGAAACAGCCCACAACAGGAAAAAACGTGATAAGACGGCCAAAGATGTTACAGCAATGGAATATTCTGAAAAAACAAAACATACAAAATCAAAACTTGACAATCAGACAAAAAATTGAAATTCAAGAGTCATTTTGCTAAAATTTGCCAAGGGTGGTTACCTTGAGGAACAGCTAGGATAAGCATGCAAGAGAGTCCTGCAGTGATAATGGTTGATCCAAGCAATTTTTTTCTTCCTATAACCTCCAAAAGCCACATACAAAGTATATGAGCTGGTATTTCAATGGCACCAAACAAAAGCTGTGTCAGAAAGATGTTCAAGCCAAGGTTTCCCACATTGAAGTAAATGCAGTAAATGGAAAGGTTCACTGAAAACCTAAGTTAAAAGACAGAAGGAAACAAATTAGTCATACAGAGGATGAGACCTCAAAAGTTCTACATTATAAAGGATTCAGCATCTCCACAACAGCTTTTGAACATTTCCACCGTTGTTCTTGATTGGGTAATGGGATTGTGCCAAATTTTGGTCAACAATTCTGCAGCATCAAAAACCTCACAAATAACATCTTTGGCTATTAGAACTCAACCAATGTGTGGTTTAATCAACACATTTTCTTTATTTGTATATACCTGAATGCTAACACATACACAGACAAACACATTCACACTTACATTCAGTCAACCTGAATGATCTGTGGGCGGAAAAAGGAATATGTAAACATGTGATTAGCATGCAAAGACTTAACTTCTGTGAGGCAAAAGTGCTAACTACTGATCCATGTTGTTGTTCTGTTGTTCAGTGGTATGTTTAAATTAAAACTCAGTAACAGTTTTTTTAGTATGAAATTGCCTATTTGTGTTTCCATATGCAGTGTTTCCATGCTGAGATGCAGTAGAGGGCTAGTATCACAAAGTGTTAATTTGGTAGTAACAAGACAATACCCAATTGATCTAACTCAGACTACTGAAGCTTCTACAGCTGTGACTCAATCCTTGAAAAATGTTGTTGTTTTATTCACTTAAAGCGATATTAATTTGTTATTTTTGGCCACTTGGGGTGGAACTCCACAACAAGCTAAAAAACCTTTTGACACACAGATTTTAAATATTATTGTGTGGCACATCTAAGGTAGTGTGACCAATATTGGTATTGTACTAACTGAGTGAGGTATACAGCTTTCTGTAGAGCAGTGAGGTGTAACGGTCGTGGTTACGCTAGTTGCTACGGGGAATGGTGAGCGAGCGGCACCTCCGCTGTTTCCTCAGTAGCAGTCTGGAACAAAACGCAGATGCACATTGCTCCTGTTTCACTTTCATACAGGTCGCTAAAGTATAAATAACCCATAACTACTGAGTTTATAACACTTATAACATTATTGTTTGTTTTATGTTTGGAATGTGTACGATGATTTTAACGTAGGTAAATACAGGAAGTAAGTTTGCCCTGTCATGTTGGTGCTACGAATACCAGACGTTTAAAGTTTACGGTGGGAACATGTTGTGGCAGATCCAGCTCATGTACACTGAAGATATTTTAGATGTTTGTTTGATAAGATATTTATAAGTAATATGCACTATGTTAAAACGTACCTCGCCAACTTCAATATTTCCGGTTGTTTCCAGTTCAATATATGATTAAAATATGTAGCATTTTCTAATCAATGCATTTCACTGGACTGAAATTATTACAGAAGTTTGTCAATTCTGACACATTAAAGGGGCAGTATAGGCCCTGTCCAAGTTATCCATCCATCGTCAACCGCTTATCCTGCGTACAGGGTCACGGGGGGCTGGAGCCAATCCCTGCTGTCATTGGGCGCAAGGCAGGGTACACCCTGTACAGGTCGCCAGTCCATCGCTGGGCCACACGTAGACAAACAACCACTTACACTCACGCCTAAGGACAGAGTCACTAATTAACCTAGTCTGCATATCTTTGGATGGTGGGAGGAAACCCGGAGAGAACCCACGCAGACACGGGGAGAACAAGCAAACTCCACACAGAAAGGCCGGGGTTTGAACCCACAACCTTCTTGCTGTGTGAGGCGACAGTGCTAACCACTGCACCACTGTGCCGCCCTGTCCAAGTTATATTAGACGTAAACGTAAGAGCAGTTACATACTGTAAGAAGAAAAGGTATTTAAATTACTAAAGATGTTTATTGGATGTGAAATGTGTTTATTGTTGTCAGGGCCCGGTTTCCTGTTATTCAGCACTCTGTAATCTGGAACAAAACGCAGACGCACCAAATCTTCTTTGCTCCTGTTTCACCTACTTTCATACAGGTTACATATCTGCTATTAAGGTACCTATCCCTTGGACCCGTAACAATTGCATACAACATGTTAGCTAACAATTTACTGTTTGCAACTTCTTTTTTTTTTACTTTCTGGCTGCCTGATGAATGTAAGTCAAATATTCACTCTTGTTCCTACTTGCTCTGCTTTGGTCTCCACAAACTCCTGAGAGAAACATCAGGCACTTCAGCTGCTAAATGCTCCATTATGTTCACCAGCTAGTTGCTAACCTTGTCTGCTATTTGCAGCTGGAAACCAGGGTGATGGTGAGTTTACAGAGACTTAAAACCAACACAATGAGCTAAAGGGTACTAAGTAGAGGTGAGGGGGACTTCAACTCACCATGCCAAAGTTATGATGAGGAAATATTTGGTCAGTACAGGTGATCTGAAAATAACTTTAATGCCTCCTTTGTTACTAACATCTTTCACAGCAATCTGTAACAGACATTAATGCAAATTAATTATATAAAAATCATACAATGTGATTTTCTGGATTTTTGTTTTAGATTCCGTCTCTCACAGTTGAAGTGTACCTATGATAAAAATTACAGACCTCTACATGCTTTGTAAGTAGGAAAACCTGCAAAATCAGCAGTGTATCAAATACTTGTTCTCCCCACTGTAAAACTTCTAACTCAGTTCTGACTGCACACCTGTGATATCAGTTCAGCTAAATGAATTTACCACTGAACACAACTTTCAAAATATTTTAAATAATTTTACCGCATTATTTGAAGCTTTGGTCATGTTTAACATGAACATCTGACATTGTAACATAATAGATATGCCTGAAAATATGAAAAAGCATAATAGGTCCCCTTTAATGCAGGCTTTCAGTAGGTTAAACCCCAGCAGAGATATCTGTGAAATCACTAGCAGTTATTTTCTCAGACTTGGTAAATTTACTAAGTCAACTAGTGATGTCATTGGTGAATAATTTTCGAGCTTTCTGTTTCAAACTTTTCAAAAAGCTTGATAATGGAAAGAAAAGACATTGAGAATGGTCAGTACTTTGTCCAGAAGAAAGGCTGGAACAGTGCGTTTGTTGATGGCTGCTGCCTTGGCAATTAGCTCTTTAGCCTCCTCAGTCCTTCCTCGGCTTAACAACCATCTGGCTGACTCTGGAATAAACCTGATTGAAAAAAAGGAAAGTGACAGTTCAAAGAGCCTCATATACAAATAAAACAATAAAAGGCAATAAAGGGCTTATACACACCATATGTAGATAACAACCACGCTAAGTGGAGCTGCCGTGATTAGTTGAGCCAGCCTCCAGTCTCTGATGAAGTAGATCAAACCAGCGAGGGTACACATTCCAACTGCACTACATAGCTGAACCACACATGCTCCCCATGATCGTTTGGACACCCCAATCCACTCAGTGGCTGCAACAAGAAAATATACAATTAATTAATAATAACAGTTTTCACTAGGATTTTATATTTTAACAAAACATGTCATAAGAATAATTTAAAAATGTAACATTAACTAAACTATACAAAACAATTGTTGGTCAGAAGTTTTCAGTCATCTTATATTTCTCTGTAACTTTTGCTTTTCTGTGTTTTACTTTAAATCATTAGTGTTAATATATCGTTTATATCAATATGCTGTTATGCCAATTTGCTATTTGTAGTCTATCTATAGTCTCATGTAAGTTGATTTGAATAGCCTGAAATTTCTGATGAAAATTTATGGCACGTGCTAAATAATTACACATGCTTCAAGAATATGTATAGCTGCTACTGAACTGAGCATGTAGTACGTACCTAGTACAATACAGTTGACGCGATATCCACCAGCTCCAACTCCCACCATGAACTGAGAAACTAAATATAAGTAGACACTGGGGCACAGCCCTGTTGTTATAATAAATATGAATATTATGACCAATGATATTTGAGATCCTCGTTTGCGACCAAACCTGCAGCAGACAGAGATGATCAACCCAAAATTAAAAGAGCTAATGGCTCTATGAGGAAAGATAGATATAGCTATAACCATATGCTCCAATTAATAAACACCTAATTTCATCAACAATAGGTATTTAATATAGACACATGGAATATGAATGAACACTAGAAATGACCAGCAGCTGTATGTGAACACAATGGCCTTAAAAACTTCAGCTACAACTAGGTCTGTATTGTGAGTTAATTAGATATAAAACATTTTATAACTAACATTACTAAAGACAATGTTTAAAATTGTAAAGACCTTTATAAGGTATACCCTTTTTTTGTGGAAACTAAATTCAGTGTTTTTGAGACCTGCAGATACACATGTTTTTAACAAATTTGCATTTCTGTAACTTGCATCTTCTAAGTAAAAATATTATATTTTTACTACATGAAATACACTTACGATTCAGCAAAGGGACCGAATATGAGAGAACCGACAAGAACTCCAGCCATGAGCACTGCTTGAACCACTTCCACCAATTTAGCCTTGTCACAAACCAGGTCATACTGTTAAGAAAGAAAGAGGCAAAAAAAAAACAAATGAGTGATGAAGGAAGGATTTAATGAAGGTAATTTTTCTAGTTACTACACTCATTAATAAGGTTTGATGTTTTGTTTTTTAATTTCTATTTTATTTTGTTAAACTCTTACTCTTGTGTTTAGTCCACCTTCTGTCTTTGGGTCTCCCCACTCTGTGTTTTAGTTTATGTTTTTCCATGTCATTCATTATTCTGTGTTTCCAGTTTTACAGTCTTATTTTCATTCCCTCTCATTCCAGTAACTTCATTTCCTGCTCTGCAGGAAGTAATTGGTTGCTTCTCTCTGATTAGTTTCACCTGTCCCTTCATCGTCTCCTCATTAGTGCTTACTCATGGTGGGAACTGTTGAGTTTCTGTTAAAAATATTATAATGTGTACAGTCTAGACCTGCTCTATATGAAAAGTGCAATGAGATAACTTTTGTTATAAATTGGCACTATATAATACAATTGAACTGATAGAATAGTGTATTGTTTGCCTCACTCTTTGCCAGTTTATTGATGTCTTTTGACTCATGTTGCAGCCTAGTGCTTGATTCCCAGAGTTTTCTTTGATTATCTGTGTTTTCTGGACCTTGCCTGCTTGTTTTGGGGATTTATTCTTTGTTTGCTTCTGGACATTGCCAGCACTTTGGTTTATGCATCTTGCCTTCTCTGTTCTGGATTATTTTGCTTGTGTTGGATCACCTGTTGTTTTTTATTATATCACTGTATCTGCTTTGCCTAAGATGTCTGCTATTTTGTCCAAACCCTTGTTATCCTGCTGCTGTGCTAGCGGCAGTATATGTGATACTCATTACTTACATCAATACTATGGTGGCTTCATATAGAACTGGTCTGTTTTCAGAGGCTCTAAAAGAATGGTTGTCCTCCTTTGAAAAATTACATTCAAATCTTAAACTTCACTTAAACATTCCATGGACTTTAAACACAGACCTTTCGTACTTGCACTCTTGGAGAAAACCATTCTCTCTGACACCAGCTGACACCAGCTCATGGCTCATTGATGCCGGCTCGGCTGACACCAGCTCTTGGTCCCCAGTCAGGGGCCCAGGACTTCCACTACACCCCTGTCCAGCCCTCTGGTTGTTCATCTGAGAGTACCAGTTCCCTGGAAACTTGCCCCTGGATGCCTCCTCTGGACCACCTCCACACACATTAGTTCGACTTGGATCTTTTTTACCAGCTCCATTCTTCAGCTCCCTGGACACTTGTGTTTTTCCGCTTGTTTAATTGGTTGCTTCTAGCTGATTAGTTTCCACTGTCCTTTGTTATCATGTCCTCATTTGTGTATTTAGTTTGCCTGTTTCCCTCACTGTTTGTTCACAGTTCGTCAATGTCTTTTGACTCACATTCCAGCCATTCTCCTGATGCTTGCTTGCAGTATTTTGTTTGATTATCTGTGCTTTTTAAAATTGATCCTTTGTTTGTTTTCATTTTATTTATTTATTTTTTTAAACCTGTCCTGCCCAGCAGCCTGGTATAGAGTATAAGATAGAAGTATATGACCTGGATACCATATTGTGCCAGACAGATTTTACTTTAACAAGAGAGTATTAAAATACTCCTTTGTCTGTTTTATTATTTATTTAATTATGTATTGATTTGTCACCGGGCCGGACAGGGGGGCAGACACGGGGATGGGGGGGCACAAACAGACAGCACAGAGAAAGGACAACACCTGCAAGAGAAGGGGGAAAGGGGGATGGAGGGTGGGGACAACAGGGAAAAGCTGTGGGAAACACCAATTGCAGAAAGCAACGAAACCTGCAAGAGAACAGAGAGGGGGGCTTGGGGAGGAGAAAAACAAAAACAAACCAACACAAACAAAAAAACAATAAAAATAATAATAATAGTAAAAGACAACCAGACGAACAGCAGCAATAAACAGCTGACATATTAATGACATATTAAGACAACTAAGAGAACAATGAAAACAAGAAACAGTCACACACACTAAATAAGCAACACAACACAGCCACGAGAGCTGGAATAATAATTAATTTAAATAAGTAACTGAAAGAAAGGCATCAGGAATAATTCTACCAGGGAAAACCTAAGTTTGTTTGTGTCTGTGTGTGTCTGTGTGCGTGTGGGTGAATGTGTCTGTATGTGTGTGTGTGTACATGTGTGTGCGCATAAGCCTGTTAAAGAATGTAGTTAGAGAGAGTGGGACGCCACGACTGTAACAGGCAGGCAAGAACCCCAGTAGCCAATAGGGGTGGAAGAAAGAAAAAGAATAAATCAAATCAAAAAAAAACACAAAGACTCCCAGATGCACCGCGATGCAAACGCAGAAGACCCCGACCCAAATGCCAGTTGACAACGTAATGCCGACGGAACGCAAAAGAGGAAGAGCAGCGCCCGGACCGACCGCGGCGCAGACACAACATAGACCAGTGGCCCCCCCCATCCAGCACCCCACCGCCGCGCAGCAAACAACCACAATGCCCAAATGCCACGCAATCATCAACACCAATGCACAAGTGACGAGCCCAACGCGCACACTGCGCGAGCACGGCGACACCCATGCCCAGCAGCCCCCCGCGAATCCCGCGTGCGAGGTCGGGCAAATGAGAGAGAGCAAACGGAACAACACGACAGCGAAAGCCAGCGGAGAGAGACACCAGCAGCAAGTCCCAGCCCGGCAGCAAACGCGCCGCAAAGGTCACCGTGCACCCGCCAATAAAAGTCCACCGTCCCCCCAACCGCCGGAAAAAACTAAGGCCGCCGGCGCCAGCCGACATCCCCCATGCCCAGCGCGCCCCCCGGCCGCCATGCAACACCAGCCAAACCAGCAACGAGGCAAAATCAACTAGCTCAGCTGCATGCCACCAACAACCCACCCATCCATCAAGGGCCGAGAACTCCAGGCACAAACCCAGAACAAACCGGAGCACAGCCCTGCCCCGCACCCACACTGCACATCCCGAAAACTAACTATATACCTCAGTATCCAGAGGGGTCCAACAACTGGCCGACAGAGAAATGGGCAAGCACGGATCCGAGGCCAACGAAGCAAAACAGGAACGCAAACAGGTCCCTCCAAGCCAACGAGGAGATGCCTCCCCCGGACTCCAACGCACAAACTAAACGCCCAGCAGCCATCCAGAGACCCTGCCCAGGGAAAAAGTATAATGCATCAAGATGCATCGATAATCGCCCCACAATCCCACCGCAGACCCCCACCCCCAGAAGCCAGGACACCCTGCGACCCCCCAAAGCGCAAAGGACCCCAGACCGCATGTCCAGGGGGAAGCTGTACCCCGCCCCAAGGAAGAACAGCAGAAAGCCGTGCCGGGAAGCTCGCTACCGCCAGGGAGCGATAACGCGGGAGAACCAGGCCAACGGTCCCCCAGCCCAGCTTTGTTTGTTTTCAGACCTTGCCTGTTCTGTGGATTATATCATCATGCCTTTGCGTTTGCTTGTGTCTGATCTCAGCCTTATCAAAAGCTTTTGCCCCTGTTTTGGTTTAATAAATTGTTTAACTGTACTTGCTTTGCCTAAGATGCCTGCTATAGGGTCCAAACCCCTGTTGTCCTGTTGTTCCACTAGCAGCAGTATGTGTCATACGCATTACTTACATCAGTGACTATGGTGGCCTTATACAGCATGTTGCTGTACACCCATCCGTTCTGGCACCCTGTGGTCTCATTGAGTCCATACTTCCTGATGGCACCAATGTCCCAGTCAACAGGGACAAACATCTGACACCTGCTGAAGGTCCCATCCTCCTCCCGGGGCAGAGTTAGGTTCAGCTGCTCATCTCTGGTGATGTTAGTGTCAGCCTGAAGGATCCAGTCTGTGTTACAGTGTCGCTCTGGATCTGACTCGATAAAAACAAAGCTTGCGAATAGAAAAGACTGACAGAAATTTGGGAAGCAAAGAGCAAAAAGAGTGAGCTGCTGGAATAATCCAAATTCTCCAATGTTCCTGAGGATCTCTGCAAATTCAACCATGTTGATGTCAGTTAACTTACTTCTCTTACTGTGTTAGTTTAAGAAAGATTGCACAACAAACTTAAACAACATCCATTAATGTTTAACCAAACAAAATTATATTTTAGCTAACCATTTACTGATTAACAGTGGGTGATTAACCCTAGTATGGTATTCAGGTTTCTAGTATTTAGAAAAATGGTACAAGAATACATTTTCTCTACCTAAAACTCAATTGCCTTATATTCTGTGATAAACATGTACAAACACTTTTAATTCAACTAAAGAAGTTGTGAAACACCAAGAACCATCTGAGATATCCGATGTCATTCCAAGATACTAAGTCAGCTCATGTGATTCTGAAATGACTCGGCACAGTCCTGCAGAACATAAAAAACCTAAACGTTAAACATACAATTTATGTTTTTTTATAAACATAAAAAAATAGCATTTTCACTTACTCATTTTTGTTGCCAGCAGTTTAGACATTAATGGCTGTGTAATATGTTATTTTGAGGGGACAGAAAATTTACACTGTTATCCAAGCTGTACACTCACTACTTTAGCTGGTGCTGGTCGGATGCCCGGAAAACTCAGAAGAACTCAGGACTCTGGTCGCGGTGCCCTGGAGAAACCCTACCACTGGTCGCGGTGTGTGTTCTGTGCATCTGAGGTCGCTGCCGCGAGCCTCTTTCTCTGCTTCAGATGTTCCTGCACCGCTCAGGATGGGTCTGATAAATGCCCGTTCAATTGCAAACAAGTCTCTTTTGCTCAGTGATTTATTTACCTTCAAGAACATGGACTTCTTGTTGCTCACGGAGACTTGGCAACGGGATATGGAATACTATCACTTGAATGAGCTCTGTCCTGTGGACTGTACTTTTATCAGCACGCCAAGACTCACAGGCCATGGTGGAGGTCTTGCTGTGGTTTTTAAAAAACATTTTATCTGCCAGTCGATGCGCACTGGCATGTACTCTTCTTTTGAACTACAGATGACTAAGGTTGGTCGTTCAAATACATTTTATTGTATTTTAGTCTACCGGCCACCTGGGCCAGACGCCTCTTTTCTTACTGATTTTTCTGACTTCTTATCATCCATTATTAAGCTGGACAGAGTGATCGCTGTTTGCGATTTTAATATCCATGTGGATGATGATACTTGCAAAAATGCTTCTGAATTTGTAAATATTACTGAATCTTTTAACTTCACTCAGTGAAGTGGATTATTGCAATGTACTGTACATTTGTCTAAACAAATCCTCCACTGCAAATTGTGCAGAATGCAGCTGCAAGGCTTTTGTCTAAAACCAACAGGAGATCGCACATTACTCTGTGCTTAAGGCTTTTCATTGGCTTCCAATTGGTTTTAGAGTACATTTTAAAATTTTAACCATTACTTACAGAGCCTTGCATGGTCAAGCTCCCTCTTACATTGAGGATCTGTTGCATGCACACATTTCTGGTCGCTCTCTGAGGTCTTCTGGCCAAGACCTTCTAACTGTTCCCAGAACACGTTATAAAACAAGAGGTGATTGTGCTTTCTGTGTAGTGGCTCCAAGGCTCTAGAACGCTCTCCCTTTAGCCTTGAGATCCTTGGATTCTGTGGAAATTTTTAGAAAACACCTTAAGACACATCTTTTTCGACAAGCTTTTAACTAGCCATATAGTTTTGTATTTTAAGTGTTGTTGTTGTTATTTGTTTTATTTCATTCTATTTTTTACTGTGAAGCACTTTGTGACCCCTCTTGTCTGTGAAGGGTGCTATATAAATAAAGTTTACTTACTTAGTTACTTTTTTTACCAGGCGAGGATGAAAATATCATATACACTCCATGTAGTCTTCAATGGTAAAATAAATTTGTTAATGTACAATGGATTTATATTCCTTAGCTTCTGACCTTTCAGAGGAGACCAGAATTATGCATCTAGGCCAAACAATTGAGGAGCTATTCCTGATTCATTTTGGGTATGTTATTTTAGGCATTTTTCCTGGAAAAGGGTGTCTGTTTTCAACAGGATAAAGCACGTTTGTATGTATGTTTGTTACTACATTTATAAGGGAAATGGATATACTTAGTGTTCAGTTGGTACAGTTGGTAACTTAATAATTTTTAATAAATTTTGGGCTGTCAAATATATAAATAAACTAATCAATCTGTAATTTTGAGGAAAAATCAAGTATTAATAAAAGCCATTGGGGTAGTCTTATGATAGGATGTTCATATATTGTTGAAATTACTTTTAAAATTGATGTAATTCAGTATCCGCGACCCTGTATGCAGAATAAGCGGTTGACGATGGATGGATGGATGGATGGTAATTCAGTATTAGCAATCTTTGAAAGAAAGTTTGATTGTTTAGCATATACATTTTATTCACAAATAAAGAGTCCTTTTTAATACTCATTCTTTATGACTTTATTGTAAACATTTGATTTTGCCATGTTTGTATACAAAGTGTGCCTAATTCAGAACAAATAAAAACAATTTATTGATAGCTTCATGACAAGTACATTTTAACAACTTAATGATAAATTAAGTGGCATAAGAAAACAAAAGCAAAAGGTAAGAAATCATTGTGTTTACACAACTATAATTTCTACTGCTGCTTTTGATCTGTTCATATGTTGTTAAGTAATGACTTCTGTGTGGATTGAAGATGTCTACAGCTTGGTTGAATTTGAAGAACTGGCTGTGTAGGTCCTTTTTCTGAAACACAAAGGGCAGATTAGAGACATCAGGGAGCAAATTGTGAAATGTAAGAGATATTAACTTGTTTAATGACATACAGTATATAGTGATGGAACATATTTGCCATAAGTACCTGTTGTTCTCAGCGTCATTGTCAAACTCAGGAAGGTCTTTTCTCCTGGTCTCAGGAAGCAGGAAGCTGAGAGCTCCACTGAACAGTGTAAGGCTGCTGAAGACTATGATGGGTATGACCCGGTGGTACATGGACAACATGTTGAGCAGTGGAGCCAGTAATCCACCTGTTCTTGCTGCAATGGCTCCTAAAGCTGTGGCCGTTTGTCTGAAAGGGGTAAAGTGAAAAGTGACATTTCCACTTTTGGGCAAAAAACTAATTTTGCAAGAACCACTTGCTTCAAACATACAGTGGTGGAGCCTATCACTCTTTGACAAAATATACTCAATATAATTTTAAATCTATTTCTGTGACTGTCTTAACCATTCAGTAGCCTACTTATTGCCCCCTGTGTCAAGACATTCATTGGACACCCAAGTAGGTTAATAATGCTTTGGCAATATTGTTGTTACACATTCATGCCAATAAAGCTAATTTGAATTGAATTGCATTAATACAAATCATTTAATACATCTTAAATGGTGATTCTCCATGGTCTGAAAGTTTGCACATAAAACCTCTGAAAACCTACCTAACAGATGTTGGGAACAACTCCTGAACAAAAACATTACATACAGAAACAGCCCACACCAGGAAAAAACGCGATAAGACGGCCAAAGATGTTACAGCAATGGAATATTCTGAAAAAACAAAACATACAAAATCAAAACTTGACAATCAGACAAAAAATTGAAATTCAAGAGTCATTTTGCTAAAATTTGCCAAGGGTGGTTACCTTGAGGAACAGCTAGGATAAGCATGCAAGAGAGTCCTGCAGTGATAATGGTTGATCCAAGCAATTTTTTTCTTCCTATAACCTCCAAAAGCCACATACAAAGTATATGAGCTGGTATTTCAATGGCACCAAACAAAAGCTGTGTCAGAAAGATGTTCAAGCCAAGGTTTCCCACATTGAAGTAAATGCAGAAAATGGAAAGGTTCACTGAAAACCTAAGTTAAAAGACAGAAGGAAACAAATTAGTCATACAGAGGATGAGACCTCAAAAGTTCTACATTATAAAGGATTCAGCATCTCCACAACAGCTTTTAAACATTTCCACCGTTGTTCTCGATTGGGTAATGGGATTGTGCCATTTGGTCAACAATTCTGCAGCATCAAAAACCTCACAAATAACATCTTTGGCATTTTCTATATTTCTGTATACCTATCCAACACATACACAAACACATTCACACTTACATTCAGTCAACCTGAATGTATGCGATTGGTCTGTGGATGGCATGCCGCTGTGGCTTTTCTGCAGACATGTTCAGGTTCTGTAACTTAAACGTTCCCAGCTCAGAGGCAGATAAACACCGGCTCTGTACCTTTCGTACAGCGCAGCCGGCATATTGGCTCAATACTCCCATGAAAAAAAGGCAGTGTGAAAGCGACTATAGACAGACAGGGAGGCAGCTTCACACAACATGCTGGAAACTCCGTTAAATTCCCACTGCACCATTACAGTAATTTTTTTTTCAGCTTGAGGTTGAACTAATCCATGCTGTTTACATGATAATGTAACATTTACTGCATTTAGCTGACATGATACATCAGTGTTAGCTCTCCTGCCTGCTTTTTAGTAACTAACAGTACAATTTGTGTCTCTTCCACTGGAGGTTCAGCAATGTCAACACAGCTATATGTATTGGATGATAACGAAACGGTTAGTGAGCTAGACAGAATATTATAATGAGATTGTTGCCACACTTTACAACAGTTGGACAGTACATAATGTTACTGTAGTGAATGGCTCTTTTTCTGTGTTGTTTTCCTGCGCCGTTTTGATGCAGCAATGTATATTACGTGGGTCACGTTATGTTGAAGATTTGTATTTAGCCATGATGTGTGAATATTTTATATGCCTAGCTTGATTAGGATAATGTTTAACATGTTTGTTAGAATAATGTTTGATACACTGAGCCTTTAGGGTGCAGTCTTCTTACTCAGCCTTGTTGCTCTCAGGCGGCAGTCTTTACATTTTTGTAAGAACACAGAGACTTCACAAGAACACACACACTACACATTTTGCACCACTTACCACTAGTATAATATTAATTCCAGTTCAAGCAGTATCACTATGGTACATTGTTCTCATTTATTAAATCTTTGTGCAAGAAGAATTGTCTGTTTGTCTGTAATTTACTGATGCTAAGTGCTAACTAGTCAATAATCATCACCATTCATGCAGAACTGTTTCAAGTTTACTGTAGCACTATGTCAACCTTGTTTAATGTCCCGCCCCATCCAAGCTGTGAATGGTCGGTACAGAAGTGACAGTGATGAGCAACTTTTTTGATTTAAAAA